CAGACATCTGATTCTTGACATTTAAAAATAACAATATGGGGGGTGGGGGTGGCGAAGAGGAGCCTTTTATTTTTTATTAACTACAAAGAGCTTAGGAGTGAGCGCATTAACTGGAACTTGCCATAATTTCAAACTATAGCATTCAATTCCTCACTCAATGGCTGACAAAGGCCAAGTGCCCATATCGCTATCATTTTTCTATATGACTATGCCAAAGACCTCAATTAAATTACGTCTAAGTGATAATTCCATAAAGAGAGATTATCTGATCATTATAAATTGCTAGCATTTAGATTCCCTTATTGTTGAGTATTAATTTAAACTTTGTTCAGCCATGCACCAAATTAGAGACCTAACTAGTTATTCTGTTGCTACTCTGAGAAGCCCTGGTGGGACAGAGGTTATGAATTGGGCTGTGATCCACATGGTCGGCAGTTTGAAACCACCAGAAGCTCCACGGGTGAAAGACTGGGCTTTCTTCTCCCGTAAACAGTTACAGTCTCGGAAACCCATGGGGAGAGGGGGGCGATCGCTATGAGTCGGCATTGACTCGATGGCAGGGAGTATTGCTCCTCTGCAGAGCGTCACATTTGATATCCAAGCACTCTTAACTACATGTGCATGTAGGAGTGCCAATGCGTACGTTAATGAAATGGAAAAATAGTGCGTTGATCTCTATTTCTACAGCATACTATCGTGGAAAGCATCAGATCCAGAGTCGAGTCTTAGCTCTACCCCCACATCCCCCCGCCCCCCCACTACTGAACTGTGATCTTGGGCAAGTGATTTCCTTCTTGGGACTCAACTATCCATCTGTAAAATGGGAATACATTGTACGACTCCCTTAGAAAGTGGTTTTGGGTACTCATTTCGATCTTGTTTCTGGCATAAATAGGTACTCGATAGACCATGTCTGTTCGGTGCTTGCAGGGGTCAGGAGTGGGCATGATGGAAGGACAAAAGAGAACCTTTGAAGGTGGAAAATCTCTTTCAATCTCCCCCGTTCCCACATTCTAGCTGTGTTCCTTTGGGTAAGTGATTTAATCCAAATTAACTAAATGTTACTTTCTTCAACTCTGAAACACCTCAAGGCATTTTAAAGAACAAATTAGCTACCATTTGAATCACAGCCACTGTAGTAGATATGTATTTAGTAAGGAGGGTACAGGCCTTATAACTCTCATTAGCACTCGTCAGGGGTAACTTAGAAATGTGGACCAAGACCTTAGACCTTCTAGGCCAGGGGCCAGCAAACTTTCGAGATAGAAGAGCCAATCCTGTCCCTCACAACAATTTAAAAATTATTTAAGAGCTACAGATGTATTTTTACAAACAAATTAAATCTGAATAACATCCTTTACAAATGTCCAATTTTACTTCCGAACCACAGGTCCACACCGAGAGAGCCACATCTGGGTCTCAAGCCAGTTTGCTGACCGCTAGAACCAGCCTCGTGTTTCCTAGCCGAGGAAGGAGGCCGAGAATGCTGCCAGGCTGGCTTCGGGCTCGATCACTCCTTAGTGGCACCCAGCCGTCAGAGCACAGAATCCTCTTATTAACGTTCCGTTCTTTATCCCCTAAAACTTACCATGTTGAAATCAAACCCATGTGCAAATCCAGTTTCAATGCTCGTCAGTCATTAAGGCAGTGCAACGGAGAAACAAACTAACCAAACTCTCGCTCTTTTGCACAATTTCTTCCTAAGCACGCGCCTATCCATGAAATCGCTGCACAGGGGCAGGCAATGGCGGGCCATCTCTTCCTGAGAAGAGCGTCCCCAGGATGACGGAGTCGCTGGCCCTTTCCTCTAAAGCCAGGCGAGAGCTGGAGGGCCAGCCCCGCTGTTCTCAGAAGGACTCCCGTCCTCCTCCCTCCTCTCAATAGGAACTCCTCCACTCTAGCACAGGGGTTGAAGCGAGGGAGCACACTGTTCTCCATTCACGTTTGCTAGGCCACCGCAATGGCGTCTAGGACATAATAGACTTTCTTCTCCGTCTGAAAGCCTTGCACAGAACAGGAGCTCGTTGTTGAGAATATGTGTCCATGACATACGGTGCGGCTCGGAGCTCAGTTTATGTTTAAAGGATGCAACCAGCTGGGCTCCTTCAGGGCTGGTTATTGCCCAGGGTTGTACAGAACTTATCAAATCTCTTTCGATTGCTCATTGATTTCAGGATGAAAAAACAACAGCCTTTTGGGTAACCAAGTCAGATAAGCTCCAACTCTGGGGAGGAAGGAAGGAAATGGGAGTGAGGAAGGCGTATGCGTGTTTCATGGCATCAGTGTTTTATTTCCCTAGCTGGGAAGTACCGATGTGAGTGGTTATCTATTCCTTTCGTTTCCTGGTTTCATTTTTAAAAAACTGGCTTTAATGAAGGCAAATGAATTGAAATTAGTATTTACCAATCTGTATGAGAGCTAATAACACTACAGTGTTAAATCTTTCCTTTCTAGTTCAAGATCTCTTCTCATGGTATGGATGCATTTTACTAATAATGTATTTACTCAAAAGATCTTTGTCGCCTTCCTCACCACTCCTTCCTGCCCTTGATTCCTTGATTCTGAAGCGCCCCTTAGACATCAGACCAACCCAGGTCTAAGGCTGGCCTTTGCAGTGTACTGGCCATGAGGCTCTAAATTCTAGGCATTGCTAAGCTCTAGTTTCCTCGCCTATGTAAACAGAGTTTTACTATACCTGACTTTCAGGATTATCATGAGGTTTAAATGGAATAAATGGGGAAATGTTTATTTACAGTGTCGTGTAGGTATTAGGGCTTCACCCACTGTTAGTTTCCATCTTTCGTGTCTTATCTTTACACTTCTTGGCATTTTTTTGAGGTTTTTGGCTCCAAAAAAAGGTTTAACACAAGGACGAGGAAATTAAGGTAGGGCGAACGGTATGCAAGCCCAGTCAAATCATTTTCTTATTAACACAGCCTTGTCCCACACCCATGGTCCTACATCCTAGCATTTCTTTTCTTAATATCTCTTATATAATCTCACTATAACTTAAAACCAAAACCAAACCCACTGTGACTGCGTCAATTCCGACTCATAGAGATGCAGTAGGCTAGATTGGGGTACCAGATCTTTGGGTCACTGAGGCTGTCGATCTTTAGGGAGCAGATAGCTGGTAGATGTGAATCTTCGACTTTGTGGTTAACAGTCTAATGCTTGCTCAGTGGTGCCACCAGGCCTCCCTAGACCATGACTTATCATAGGACAATGAAAAAAATTGTTTTGTGTTTGCTCCTAATCACCGAACCTCCGCAGACAGAATGTGAGAGATGCATTCTATGGCGTCTATCTACTTATTGCTCAGCCTTTCTTCAAGACACGCGTCCTTATCAGAATACTTTATGAGCTTGCAGAATTTCTGTGATCACCTCCACCCTAGCCATTTCTGTAAGCAAAGAGATGGGTTCCAGGTCTGCTCTGCCTCACAGGCTCAGAGCAACCCTTTACATCGTTTTCCTTACGCAGACTCCGGTTTTCATTAGTTAAAGAGGGAGGTCGGACTCGCTGGATCCCTCTAGCGCTACAGTTGTGGCTTACTTAATTAGCACATGTATCAGCCTTACAGTCAGGTAGGAAGTGCCCACTTCAATGGGCAATGCCCCATCATTATGTGCTGCGAGTGAAAACTTCACACAGGTTGGTGGCAGATTTTGAAGTCTAGGGAGAGGGGGTTCTAGCACTTGTTTTGAAGACTGTCCACTGGACATCTTCTCAGGACTTCTGGGTGGCACTCACAAATAAGTCAGCTCTGTCAAGAGGTGTTTTAAAGAGAGAGACAAGATAAACTTTCAGTGAAAGGATTGCTCTTGGCATTTCTTTTTAAGATGAGTGGGGGAAAGATGGCCTTGCACCTTTGTATTCCAATAACCCCCCTCACCTACTTGTTTTTAAGATGGAAAGAGCAGGGGAGAAGTGGAGGGGGGTGGAATACCCAATAAACCAAAACTATAAGGGTCATTCTTCCAGAGAGGGGGACTTTAGAATATTAGAGGGAGGAAGGACAATGCTCCCCCTCCCTTGCTTTATGTTTGTATGGTGGCCAGGAGGGGAAACACTTGGAGGCTGTGGCAGGGTAGGTGCAGTCTGCCTGAGTCTGGATGTGTGTGGGACTTACATGTTGACACTAATTATATTTTATGGCCCTGATGCTGCCTCCTTCTTTTCCATCTCCTCTCTGTCCTCCTTGGTCTCTGCAGCTGTGCTTGTCAAGTCCCCAAACTGGCTGGATCTCCACCTCCTCGGGGCCAAGGGCATGCTCCTGATTTCTGTGCTTACTTCTATATTCTAATTTCTGGCTTACTTCTATAAAAAGGTAGATTTGTCTTAAAATTCTGGTAGATGCCCCTGTCTTCTCCTGCCCATCTATGATCCCTTAAGAAGAGACAAGTAATAAAAAAAGCCCACAAGACATTAAGAACTCCTTTCCCGTAGGTGTGGAGGCCTGGTGACTCTGGGCTAGCTATGGGCCGGTAGCCTAAAGGTCAGTGGTTCAAACCCATCTTTGGCTCTTAGGGAGAAAGATGAGTCCGTTTGCTCTGGTGAAGACGTCCAGTCTCAGAAACCCAGATAGACTTGCATATGTTGGACCACATTTGATGGCATTAGGGTGGGTGCCTTTAAGTAAGGAGCCCTGTTAGTGCAGTGGTTGGAGAGCTCGGCTGCTACCTGAAAGGCCAGCAGTTCAAATTCACCAGCTACCGGCACCATCTTGGAAACTTGTGGGGTCTCACTGCATAAGAATTGACTTGTTGCCAGTGGGTTTGGTTGTGGACAGCGTTTATGCCTACTATCTCAAATGGAGTTGAAAACTAGCTTGTTTCGTGGCCTGTTTTCTGACAGGCGCACTTCATCACAGAGCTGCTAAATCGTTTGCTTACATTCACACAGACAATTCATGCTGGAAGACAACCACCCAGGAGAACAGGGCACTGCATGAGGGCCAGCACCGTTTCCCAGCATCTCTCAAGTCCCAAACGCCCTACCTGGAGGTACTGGCAGGAGCGTTCCTGCTGACTGGACTGCGCCTTTACCAGGGCCTGGTCCACGTTCACAGAGGCCTTCTGGTAAACCTCCCGGGCTCGGCTGACCGTCAGCGTGGACGACCAGGCGCTCTTCTTCAGGAGCGGGGCCTCCAGACTGACTGGCAGGTTGGCACAGGTGGAGCACTTGACGTCGTTGTTGCTGCGGGAGGTCCTCACCGCCTGCTCGCTGAGGGTGTTGTAGGCTTCCACAAAGTACTGCGAGGCCGAGCGGTCGGGGCACCTGCCCATGGTCATCACGCCCGAGGGCGTGTGGTAGAGGCACATGTCCCCGTCCAGGTTGTCGTCCGAGCTCCACCACGCGGGCGAGGCGCTGGGCCGGGCTTTGGGCTCGGCGCGCCGCTCCTTGCTCTTGCTGCGCTTGCTGTAGCGCAGGGGCTGCGTGTCGTCCGGGCTGGCCTTGCCCCCGTTGAGGCTGCCCTTGGACGGCCCCTCCAGCGAGTGCGACTTGGTGAAGAGCTTCTGCACCGAGTGCACCAGATGCCGGATGCGGCCGGGGCTGTCGCTGCGGTGCTCCAGGGCCGCGCGCTTGTACTGCAGGGTGTGGTAGCCATCGCGGCCCAGCGGCAGCTGCCTTTCGAACTGGTCCAGGAGGTTGGGCGGCAGGCGGTTGGCCTTGGCCGCCAGGGTGCGCGGCCCGAGGGCGCACTCATCGTCGTCCTTCAGCTCTTGCTGCGAGGTGTAGTGGCGCCGGGGGAAGGTGCTGCTGGCCAGCGGGTCGCTGAAGGGGCCCACGCACTCGGCCTGGAAGGAGTTGCGCTGCGTGTAGTAGGGGTGGTCGGCCGGGTGCGGGTCCACCGGGCTCAGCAGGTATGGCTTTCGGTCCGAGGGATGCGCCAGCGAATCGCAGGTGGCATCGCAGGGGACTCCGTGGTGATGGCTGCGGCTGCCCGCGAAACCTTTCATTGCTGATGGGCGGCCCCCGCCGGGGTCATGGACCCCCCTGGTCAGCGTCCCGGGCGCTCTCCGCCACGGACCTGGGGAGAGAAGAAGAGGCAAGGGCATGGTTAGCACTCCCCTGGGTACAAGCGTGGGGTGCTCTCTGCTGCTCTTCTTGCTGGGCTGACACGGTTTGGGGAGAGGGTGTTGGGGGGGGGCGGCGAAGAGAGGGGGGCTGACTCCACAGCTTGGACGGGAACATGAGAGGTGCAACAGCTATTAAACTCGAAGGAGGAAACAATAAGTTATTTGAAAGAGTAAGTCTCCTCTTTTCCCCTGTTTCCAATAACTGGATATATCTTTCCTTTGTTGGTTTTACTCTGAACTGGACGTTAACCTTGAAGATAACACACGCTAGGGGCCCCGTGTCTCTGGGACTTGGCCATACCCTTGACAGGCGGGGCAGCTGCTCCTCCTGTGGACTCCACCTGCATTGCTGGAACCTAGGGGCTTTGATGAGGCAATGGGGGGGGGGGCGGGATGAGGGGAGAGGGGGTTGCTTCGTTGGTGAATGCGCTTGGCCACTGACTGAAAAGTCCGCAGGGTGAGTTCACCAGGAAGCACAGCAGAAGACCCTAAAGACTCCTTGGGGAGTTGAAAGAATGGCTGACTTTACAGACCACTTGTCTTTCAAAGCACTTCTGAGTGAACCTGAATCAACAACTTTCTGTCAGCAGCTGGGTGTGTTTGCATCAAGCCACTGCTGTGGGTGCTAGTTGTCATGTCCCCATCATGGCGACCCCAGAGCCATGCTCCGCAGGACTTTGAAGGCGGGACTGCGCTGCCCACTTCTCAGCTAGTCATGGAGCGCTTCTCCATGGGTGCCACTCAGGGGCTCCCCAAGACTCTGGAAGGGGGTCATGCATGTTTCTAAACAAAACTGGGGCAGCAAACTAATTTAGATAGAAAAGTCCATTGCAAAAGAAAGTCTTTCTCTATAAAACAGGTCCTTTCAAATATGAATTAAAAATAAAAAAACAAATACAAAAATCCACTAGGAATATGGTAAAAAATGTCTTATGGTTATTCACGATAGCATGTCAATGTATAAAACAATATGAAATGATGCTTGAAACTTTTCTTTGGAAACCCCTGGGGCCCATGTAGGTTTTTCTTGCTAAATCAAATGTGAAACTGGCAAGAGCCATATACATAAATTAAACATATTTACTAAAACATGTACATCATTATTTTAATCATATATCGATATTTAATTATCTTCAATTTGTGAACAGCATTTCACGTAAGATGATAATTACTTGCAGAAAAGCAGAGCAAATGAAGTCTTTTTAAGGTCATTAATAATGAATCAATATCAATGATGTAACATGATAATTTCTGTAAATCTAACATAGTGTGGCTAAATTTTAAGTGGGCTCTTTCAGTAGATAAGTCCCCAGGTAACATCCAATTGTACTTTCAGGTTTTGTAAATTTACCCTTGTGGTAGTCTCCTATTCTGATGTCAATTTAAGGATTAAGAGTGTAGGAGTCCAGGCTGTCAATATGGAGTTAGCCAATGAGACTTCTGTGGGCCTGACCTTCTCTTGAGAATTCTGGGAAATCTGGTACTTCCTCCTTGGAGGCGGGAGACACTTCTCTCTCTCTGCTATTCCCTGGGAGACACTGCAGAAGACAAGCCACATGGACGCAACCAGACCTCGGAAGACAGAGAAGCCACAGAGAGACCTCTGCCAGCGCAGAGATGTTTCCAATGACACTGGATCCAAAGACTTTTTACTCACTGGCCTGTGATCTTCTGCATTTGGTGTCATTACATGTATTTCCTGAGTCTGAAGAGGACTTTATAGATTGATATCGGAAATATGGGCTAATAACGGATTTACGGACTTGATCTGGACAGGGCTGAGATGTTTTCTCAATGTTCAGTTGCTCTTGTATATAACTCTCTTTCTTATACATATATGTGTGTCCATGGATTTGTTTCTCTAGTCTACCCAGATGAAAACAACCCTCAATTTCATATAACTAAACCAACACCTACTTGTAATGGATTTTCTTCATAATCGCCCTGACTGCGTGTGCAGTCTTTAAATCAAGGGAAGGCCTTTGCTTACACTGCGGTACAGCTAACTACACCCACTGCCATCGAGTTGCTTCCCACTCACAGGCACTCTAGAGAATAGAGGATTGCTGCTTGCTGGCCTTTCTGAGGTTGCCAATGGTTCAGAGTTTCAGACAACCTGATCTCTTTCCCAAGGAGCAAGCAGTTGCTGGATTTGAACTTCTTACTCCTAACTCCTCACCCACTAAGCCACCAAGTCTCTTCAAAGCTCACTAAGAACCTAGTTATTCATTTCCAACATGCACACGGCAGTCATCCTTACTGATGACTTGACCGGGTGCCTTCTTAACGGGGAGGGTGGGTGGTGTGCTGTCTAGGACAGCAGTGGGGCAGCCGCAACCATCCAGGCTCTGGAGCCAGTCTGACCTGTCTTCCAACCCCCACTCTGCTGTGTCTTGCCATGGGATGCTGGCCTGATCAACTAGAGATTGGAGTGTTTATAGCCAAATAGATAGGGACCCTAGGAATATGGTTTCTTCTCTCTCTCAGGGACTTCCATGCGTTTTCCTCTGTGTCCTGACATGAACCTACTTACCGAGGTGGCCTCTCTGCTCGGGAGTTGCCTCAGCCTACACTCTCGGAGGGCTTGGAGAAAGAAACCACCGAAGACAGGGAGTCAAGAGGGCCAAGACTTTTTTCAGCCCTGGCATCCAGTTTTTGCTTTTTTTCAAGGACCAAAGAACACTAAATTATTGATTTTCTCTTTACAAATAAAAATTAGTACTTTTTTGGCATTAGAAAAAGGAGAGAATTATATGCCCTTGTTCCTATTACTGAAAAACATCAGACTTAAAGACACACAGAATAAATTTCTTTCGAAGTCCAGGGACTGCTTGTATAGGATGTGAGCACGTGTGTGTTTTCTTAAGAGGGCAAAAAACTGTGTCTTAACGTAAACTTTGTAAAAGGCTTCTAAGATCTTTCATGCTCTAAAATGAGGTCAAATTAGCTCACGTAAAAATGGCAGCACACAGTCCCAGTCATTTCTATGTGCTCAACCTATTTTTCTGGTCAAGGTCAAATAAATGACTAAACACCCAGGTCCTTTCTACAGAAAATTATCCACTCTCTTCTACCCTCTGATCATTTTAAAATGAAAAGATGCCAGTTTTTATTTACCATAAAATAAAGCAACACACTTGGTGAATTCCTGAAGAGTAGAGATAGATATTCTAAAACCCTAATTGTGCTGACAAACCAAAACGCATTGCCGTTGAGTCAATGCTGACTCATAGAGACCCCTGTGGGTTTCTGAGACTGTAACTCTTTACAGGAGTAGAAAGCCCAGTTTTTCTTCTGCAGAGCTGCTGGTGGTTTTGAACTGCCAACCATATGGATCTCAGTTCAGTTAGTAACCACTATACCACCAGGGCTCAGTGGGCCTATTTCTGTCGTTTTTTGTTTCTCATTCTCTCGACTCTTAAATCCTCATTTGGGCTATTTTCTTAAGTCATTCTTTAATTCTTTTTTATAAGTAGCCTCAGGAACACCATTTCCTCCCACCTGTGATGTGATCCAGACCATCTCTACAGACATGAACTGAGCCTCCATCATGGGAAGGGGCTGAGGAATGCTTTGGGACCTGATGTCGGGGGCTTAAGTGGAGAGGAAATGTTTTGAGAATGATGAGGGCAATGAATGTACAAATGTGCTTTACACAATTGATGTATGTATGGATTGTGATGAGTCACATGAGCCCCTAATAAAATGATTAAAAAAATAAAATAAAATTTTTAAAAAAGAAGAAAAAGATGACCACATGCCGACAACACCATCCCCTGTCACCACCCACCCCCAAGAGCATAACTTAGCCATAGAAGAGATGAACAACTACTTTTGTCTTTTATGCCTTTTTGGATAAGGCAGCCCTTAGCTGCCCTTGAATTAGATTTTAAGTGACTATAAAACATTTCTGAAAATAGTAAGGGAAATTGCCTTTGACACCTCGCTTTTTGAGCAGGCCTGGAAGTGTGGGTCAACATGCCTTCACAGGGGTTTCTATGACTACCGTGATAATCGCTTGTTATTTCTTTATTCAATATGATTTCAAAATTATTTTTTGTTGTCCTTCTAAATTCAGTTCTACCATCAGATCATATGTCTTAAATTTTGGCTTGGCAAATTTGATGACTATAATGTTGTCTGTGAGATTCGTTCAGCGAGTGAAATGCACCTGGAGCAGTGCATTGCTATGGAGTTGATGACAACAGCAAGAGTAATCAAGCACAGAGGAGGAAATTTTCAAGGTAGGTAATTTCCTAGACCCAAGGAAAAAACAAACCGCACATTAGAAGATGCTGACAAGGAGGAAAATAACCTTGCAAAGCTGACAAGTCCTTATTTCATTTTTTATTTCTGCATCTATCTTTATTTAGAGCTGCTGTTCTTGATTTTTCTTCACACACAGAGAATGGAGCCAACGGAAGGCCCTGAACGATCCTCCTCAAAGAGGACTGTAACCGGAGGAGAATCAAGGGAAATAGAGGAAAGAGCTGGGAGGAAAAGGGCATTTATAGAGGACTAGATAAAGACATGTACATATACAAATATATTTATATGAGGATGGGGAAATAGATCTATGAGCCTATATTTATAGCTTTAGTATTAAGGTAGCAGAAGGACATTGGGCCTCCACTCAA